CAAAGATCCTTGGATCTTTGGACCATGAACACCATTTGTTCACTTTTTTAATCCGTAAACTCCTTTGATGCTTCTTACTTAGGCCGTAAACTCCATGTGGTGGGTTATTTTGTATTTTAACTTTGATACTTTGACTTATCTTGACTTATATTGTGTTATAAATGTGTAGCTTTTAATATAAGTGTTCATAACTTATAAATAAGTATGATAACAAAGAATGTTTCCTTGGAATTTAGAGTTCTCACTGTGTGATGGTTATGATGTTAATTCACTTGCATACAATTGTAGCTTAGGCTTCTACTCGAATAATCTCAATTTACATTGATTTGAAATTAAGGGTTGTTACATGTTAAGATAGCTCCGGTTGGTCGATTTTTATGTTTGATTTCACTTGGATTTTCATTGACTTCATCTAGGTTACATCGAACTTGGCAGCGGTTGGGTTACATCGGGTTTCATTGATTGCATATGGAAATGGAGGCGCTGATCTCCTTTCTTCCATCGTCTCCTATGTTCGGTTTCATAACCAAATGCACATAGACAAATTAGATCTTAATTGTTTTTCTTAGAATGGAAAAAATAGGTTTATTGTTAGGTTTTGAATTGATTTTGGTGTATGGGTTTTGATTATAATAGGGATGGTAGTTTTGGTTTTAGATTCGTTAAGTTTTGGAGAGAGAATGAGATATGGGGTGGTGGGTATGTAGGCCTTGTTTTAATATTTATTATTAATAACTTTAAAAAGTGGAAAATAAATATATCAATGGTATATTAAGCTTTTTAGATTTCTGAGAGACCAAATATGCAATGAAAGATGCTCAAAAGTACCATCTATCCATTGTTTTCAAGGTTTGGACATGTTTCATGTAAAATGCAAACCATAGAGACCATTTTTGTAGTTTTGTCAAATAATTATCTCTAATTTAGGAGATAGATCTTGACTAATAAAGAAAATACTAAAATACAAACGATGCGTTCACAACAAACTTTTGAGAGTATTTAGCTTTTAGCATTTAAATAAAAAGTTCGATTTAAAAAAAAGTTTCGTTTGAAAATACGGGCTTTTAGCTTTTAGTTTAAACAACCAAATATAAAACTACGTCATATAACGTTTTTAAAAAAAAGCTATTGGACTTATTAAATATGTTTTCGATATACTTATTAATTACTTCAATTATGATTTCTTGAGAAGCCATAAGAAGAAGTACATGTTTATAAAAAAATGTAAAAACCTGAAAACTCTTGGTAGACATTACCATCACCTGTTTCCATAATAAGAAACATTAGAGATGATATCTTATTTTTAACACCAACTTCTTCTTCAATGGTTTCGCCTTCATCTTCTCTTTCATAGACGAGTTCCATATCATACACTGAATTAGTGTCACAAAATAGACAGTTCTCATCTTCATCCTGCTTGTCCCAATAGATTGGTTCAAATTCAGACAAACTTGAGAGGTATACCTCTAATCGCACAAATTCTGGAGTCTCGATCGCACGAATTCTGGAGTATCATACGATCTTTGAATTAATGTTTCTCAACAGATCATCATGATATCCTCCTCCGCGACTATCTTGTCTTGGTCCGGAAAAATATTTTACCACATATCGTCACCGTCGTCCCATACACCTCGTTATGATTTAGCCTATTCTCCTGGCGAGCATTGATTCAACAACTCAATTACTTGTACTCGCCATCACAAGTATTCGATCACAATGTTTTTTTTCACTATATCGGTATATATTGCGGGTCTCTAACGTCAACCGTTGTATCTTCATGCTCGATATTGTAATGATTTGTAGTTATGCGAGGTCTCCATGTTGGCTGGACTACGATACCAAATGATGTAGAATAAATAAGGATCGGAAATGAGGATTGAACGGTAACAAAGAACTACAAGAACAATCTATGTTCTTAAGAATTTTCACTTATTCTATCCTAAATGTGATTAAATATAAAAAAACTGTCAAAACAACAAGGATAAACATATAAATAGACTAATACAAATCATATAAAAAATAATTTTCTTTAATTTAGGAGATATATATATATATATATATATATATATATATATATATATATATATATATATATATATAAACCAACTTTCATATTATATTTTTTGAAATAGAAAATGTAAAATATGATCTTTGCATCACATGATCTTAATTTACTCAAAGGGTATGTTTGGCAAAAAACTAACTGTTAGTAGTTAGCGAGTAGTGGTAGCTGGTAGCGTGTAGCTGATAGTGTTTTATCAAAAGGTATGTGAGATATCTTTTAGATTTGAAGTGTTTGATTAAACTAATCGATAAAACACTAGTACAGAAAGCATTTGTTGATGCAGTTAAAATAATTAATTGATGCGGTTATCGAACCGCACCAACAAATATCGCATAAAAAAAGCCCACATTTAATAGTGCGGTTATAAAACCACATAAAAAAAAACCAAAACCGCTCCAAAAAATAATATGTGAAAAAAACAAACCGCACCAAAAAATCATGAAAACCGCCCCAAATAAAGAAATAGCAGCAAAAAAAAAGTCGTCCCACCGGAAAACACCCATCGTCTCTATCACAGGTTTGCTACGGAGAAAACAACAATCACCAAGCCGCATCACCTTTTTCCGCCATTAATCATCGTCTAGCATCTCTATACTGACCACGTTCACAACTGAGCTCACAAAACATTAAAACACCATCGGTTGACACCATCACTATCTGCCTACCATAGCCGGAAACCACCATTACAACATGAAAAATGCCCTACAACCCCCTGTGACTAACGTTTTTTCACTCCTTAACCATCTTTTTTTTTTGGAGAATAATAAACCACCAAAACTTGACACCATGACCATCTGTTTCACCTTTGGTCAACCATCTCGCCACCTCAGACCAACCTTATACCACGAGAACACCGTCAATAGAGCACCTGCCTTTCCCGAGAACCATCCACGCACCACCATCTCGTACATATTTCCGATCCACCACCCTTGTTCTACCTTAAAAAAATCAAACGTGAATCGTAAAAAGAAAAGAAACGAAGGAAGAAGAAAAGACATTGGTTTTTCTGTTTACCTGCTATCCCCAGAACTAACCACCGAGAAAACCAGGCAAAAAAAGGCCCTACCTTCGCCGAGAACCATCGACACACCACCATCTCTTACATATATTTTCGATGCACCAGGACCACCACCCTTATTCAATCTTAAACAAACCAAACATAAGTTTTAAAAAGAAAAGAAGGAAGTAGAAAAGACGTCTTCATGTTCTGCAAAGGGAAAAAGCATACACAATATAGGGCACACATATCTATTGATGCGGTTCCCAAATTTTATCGGTGCGATTAATTAGAACGAAAATTTAAGAGGGAAATGAAAAATTAGAATGAATTTTTTTAGAGGGAAGAAGAAAATAATGGTGCGGTTCTAACTGTTTTTTTGATGCGGTCTCTATTTTTGTAAATGTGTTTAATAGTGCGGTTTTGAACAAACGCACCAAATAATGCGTTTTTAATGTCTTTTGGTGCGGATATAAGAAAACCGCACCAACAAATAGTTTAAATGGTGCGGTTCCTTGGTTTATTAATGCGAAACTATTTTAATAGTGCGGTTTTAGGCTTCCACCGCACCAAAAGAAAAAACTCAATCGCACTATTAAATCGTTATGTACTAGTGAAAACTTGTAGTGGCAAACAATATTTTTTGTTCAAAACGGAGCGTTTTGTTAAACACTAGAAATTAGAAGCTCTCAAACGCTCCTAAACGCTCTGTATCAAACACACTAAAAGGCTCTTGATTTTTTTTTTTTTTTAATGATAGTGTTTTTGAACGTGCCTATATCTAGCAATCATTCCAGACTTTGAATAGGGAAAAGTTTGTCATTTAGATATATTTTTCTTGGATATATTAGGTTATTGTTTTGTGATGCTAAATGAACCATATGGATAGAACATGTGTGTGTGGGTACATCAACATGTGAGTGCGATGGAGGTTTATTTAAGATCAACTGATCATAAATTAAGATATTAAGGAGATCGAAGATTCACAATGCAGAAAATTAGAAGATAAAGATGACAATTGGCTTGGGAGGCAAACACTATGCATCAACCCACACTAGATAACACCAATTCTTTGGTAAACATAAAATCAGTAAAGTGCATAGTTTTGTACATCTTTGAAAAGTTCAAAACTAACACAGGCAAAAAAACAAAACAATAAGAATGATCTACGACCAATTCTGTGTTCCTAGGTTGCCAACAACAAGAAAGCATTTTATTTTAACAGACAAAACTATGATCCATGCTAAATGCGAAGCGTTCTTGCCGCATATATCTATGAGAGATAGAGAAACAGAGAGAAAGAGTGGGAAAGAATCATGTGCGAAAATTCATAATTATTGAATTGTATTAGCGGCTTGTAGGTTTCTTGAAACAAAATAAAATACATTACATGTACATGTCCAGAACATGTAAACTTCTACGAATTTTAGGGATTTGAGATATGCCTGCCATCCAATTCTCCTTCTCCAACAAAAATGCGATCTTTCTATTTTGTAAGGGCTTAAAGTCATAAACATACTAAAAACTAACGCTGGTTATGTGAACATTCAAATTTTTTTTCTTGAACAGCAGATTATATTTGAAGAAAGACCAACAAAAAACTGGATAACAGCTGTGCAGCGGATGGAAGTTTGGATTTTGGAATTTTTAACAATCGCCAAGTTCAAATAAGTTGTACAAATTACAGTATTAGCTCTTTAAATAAGTTTTATACAATGCACCATGATTTATAAACATTCAACGTAAAAGAATATATAGATTGGAATTGAGAAGTACTTCACCTAAATAATTTACTCTCATTCTTGTTGTGACGTTGTGCTTCCTTCTCTTTCCATGGCCAAAAAACATTATATAATTGTAATTGTATAATTGATAGAAGCACTGAAGTCTCTCTCTCTCTCTCTCTCGATCGATCGATTCATTAATGGAAGGCATATACTATGGATAATGACCAAGACGTAGCTCCAGATCAACTTCCTTTTCAAACCAATCTTCTTGCCCAACCTTTCTACTCCCTATATTGCTTACATCCAATTCAGAGGTCCCAATTCCAAGATTCAGATTCACCCTCAAACTCTCCTCGTGAAGGGCACGACTATCGAACTCCGAGGCAGCAAAACTCCATGGAAAATTAGGGTTTGATGTTGTAAATTGATAGCCATGATCACCCGTAGGATACACAATAGAAGACCTCAAATAATTAACCTCCTCATTAGGAATAACCTTGAAAGAATTAGGAGAAACTATCAAGTGATCTTTCGTGTTTGCTGAAGCAGCAGTAGTCGTAGTAAAATTATGTTGGTGCTTAGCTTTGGCTTTGTCTTTCCTATGGATGTTCATGTGACCTCCTAAGGCTTGAGCGTTTGTGAACCCTCTTTTGCAGTAGGTACACTCATAAGAACGGCCCAGACCATCTTTAGCGCCATCAGGAGGCAACGAGCAACCACTAGTTTCCTGATCGCTAGAAGTTTCTGAACTCCCGTGCTTCTCAGAATCCATAACGTTTAGAAGGGATGACGACGAACACTTTACTGGATTTAAGGGTATACCAAGATCAAAAAATCCCTTTCGTCGAGAGAATAGAGTGATTATAAGATTTAGGGTTGATGAAGTTAATTAGGACGAAAATGGTAGGAGGTTATGTATTGACCAAAAGGAACGTTCCATTGGAGATGGGTGACATTAAAAACGGATTTTCTTAGTTGTAATTTTGTGTTCGGCCGGCCTCGAACTTAGCTTTGTGTTTACGTCTAAATTATACGAATTCAAATGATGATGTTAGTGGTATATCTTCATGGCAACTTATAAATATAAAATTTGAATATATACGTCTTGGTCTTTGAAGAAAATGTAACATCTCTCTCTCTCTCTCTCTCTCTCTCTCTCTCTCTCTCTCTCTCTCTCTCTCTCTCTCTCTCTCTCTCTCTCTCTCTCTCTCTCTCCTCTCTCTCTCTCTCCTCTCTCTCTCTCTCTCTCTCTCTCTCTCTCTCTCTCTCTCTCTCTCTCTCAAGTCACCTACATAGAATTCATAATTCCGCATAATTGGAGGGTCTATAGAGAATAGATCCGCAAAATTATCAGTCCAGCAGAGTTTAGTGATACAACGAGTCTAGCTCTAGCTCTATAGTGTTATGATAAGTTGACTATTATAGTACTTTTGTATAAGGCATAATATCTTACCATATCTGTATCTTGTGTCAATTTAGTGTTTTATTAGAGATGTGATTCTCATAACGTAGTATTTACACTTTTGTACTAGTTGTCCCTCATATACCCGTGAATGTACTTCTATAAATAAACGTTTATGGTTTTATAGAAACTTGTTCATGTTCAGATTTATCAACACAAAAATTGTTCTACTTTACATTTCTTGTTCTTCATTTTATGTTATTGTTGTTTATATTATGTCATTTATAATTATACACTTAACTAGCTTATTGTTTGGTGCTTAAAAGATCCTCAGCCAATTGGTATTAGAGCCAACTTGGTTGCAGTACTACAAAACTAGGGAGTTTAAACGACCATATTCATTAGAAATGTGTAGGAAACAACTATTCGCGGCACTTTTCGACAAAACGAACTTCGTTGCAAATAGTCCTCAGGGAACTTTTTCTTACATATTTCCAATAATGCTTCTGACAAATTTCTAACAAATAAATGTCATCTGAAGTACCGACCCTCTCCCCATACACCACATTTTTAAGGATTTCAGACATATTTCCTACAAAAAAAATTTCAAAACAATTATATCATACACATTTTTTGTTGTAAATAAGAACCAATAAACATGCAAGGAAACTGATAAATAATATTGAGAATTATATATCGATTAGTTGCGAATAAATATCCAATTATTATTAATAAGATTATCAAATCAATCCTTCTCGGTTAGATATGATTATAAGAAAGGTAGAAGGAGAGTGCCACATTATTGGACGAAAGTAAACACAAGACAGTAATGTAAAATCGACCTGCTAACGACTAATCTTGATCTTAGAGACCTACACGGATCGAACTCCTGTCCTTAAAGGTTTTTATTTCGCTTCTATCGGTTGTAAGAAACCGAGTAAAACCCTTGGATTTAATGCAGATTTACCAATTTTCCAACAACAATGGAAAATGATAAACGCACAGTGAATACTGAGAAACCGGAAGAAATCGCCAAGAATACTGAGAGAGCCTTGAATTTTCATGCGTCAAATATGAATCCCAGAGAGCGGTATTTATAGATATCGAAACCCTAGAAGACAATAAAGGGGCCCCTCATAGGTCGACCCCTTAGAAACACTAGGGCGATGACTTGCTCTCCAAGCAAGCCGTTTTCTAAGCCTTCTAGAATATTATGTTGCCTTATTCACGAAGTCAACGCTGGTCAACCGTTTGACCGGATCGGTCAAACCGACTTGACTCGAACTCGCCAAAAATAAAAGGTATTCGTCTCTTAGAGACCGATGCGTCGTGCGAAATGTCAAGTGCGCCTAAATCGAGCCATTTCGCGCACTCGCGACGTCGGCTAGTGCTAGGTTATGCTAGGCGTGCGTATGTGGGCTTGGCCCATCCCTTGATCCACCAAATCCTTTGAAGGCCTATTAGGGGAAAAGCCTTATAAACCTGTACAAGGTTTCTTCCCCCGCCAATATGGGATAAAGGAAAATAGCTAACTTGCTATTACGCCTTCATAATTTCCAACAATCCCCCACCAAGTTGGAAAGTTTCCTTTCACTCAGACAAATGATGTCACTTGGGTGTCACAAAGATTAATCCCTACTTTAATATGAACAAACAAGAAGATACCAATTCAATGGCATCCTTATAGGTTTAAACCATGAACCTTGTGACATCTCCAGTTTACCCCCAGAAATCACATGTCGTCTTTGCGTTCTCCTTGAGCACTAATATGGCCATGCGCTATAAATCCTTTTCATGACCCTTTAGAAGATAAACCACTAATTTTCACTTTAGGCGCAGCACCACCTCTAGATCATATAGGCAAAGTTTTTACAACATCTTTGTTGCTTAGATGTCACTAAAACTTTTTTAAGAGTCGTAACTCAACCTTGTTCTTGGCAACGACGTACTATCCTGCCTCACATGGATCAATCATTAATGATAGTACCTTCTATCATTAGTGACTTCGTTGTTACCGTTTAAACTCGAGAATTAGGAGCACTAATGTCAAGTTAGGTTTCCATCACTAAGAGATTATATTGTTGTTTTAGACCCATGACTCTCATGGTAGATGTAACCAAATCTCTCGTCAGAGGTTTTGTAAACGGATATATGTCAAGTTCCTACATGTCTTGACATAGACAACCTTGATGGTACCACTTTCAATTAGTTGTCTCACAAAATTATGTCATAGAACTACATGTCTCGACTTCCCATTATATACCCTATTACATACTTTAGATAGTTTGGCCTCACTATCACAATAGATGGGTATAAATGGCATTGGAATATCCCGCAGACGGATATCCATGAGTAGATCACGAATCCACTCTGCCTCTTTGCCTGCTGCTGCTAAGGCAATTAGCTCTACTTCCATCATTGAATAAGCAATGCATTTCTGTTTCTTACTCGCCCAAGAAATAACATAGCCAACTAGAGTATAAATCCAACCACCTGTGGATTTTGAGTCACTGGTGTGATCTATACAACTAGCATCAGAATACCTTTCTATTATTCTATTTGATGACGAATACGTCAACTCAAAAGTTCATGTCCTTTTCAGGTATCCCAGTACTCTACCCACTGCCTTCCAGTGCTCCGTCCCTGGATTTACAGTATACTAACTAAGTTTGATTATAGCGAATGTGATGTCAGGTCGAGTGCAGTGTGTTGCATACATCATGCTTCCAGCTGCACTTGCATATTCTAAATGAGCCACTGCTCGGCCAAAATTCACATTTGGTTTCACTCTTGAATCAAAAGTAGTGTTGAATTCCTTAATATTCAAATGTTGAAACTTTGTCAGAATTTTCTCTGTCTAATGAGATTGATTCAGAGAAATCTGACCGCCTGTCCTTTTCACCTTGATACTAATAACTATATCAACTTCTCAAAGATCTTTCATCTTAAAGTTCGATGATAGGTATTTATTCGTCTCAAGAATACCTTCTAGGTAAGCTCCAATGATAAACATATCATCAACAAAAATACATGTAACAGTTATGTATTCAGAAGTGCATTTGGAATAAATACACATGTCTGTACACTTATGCTAAAATCCGAAAGCAGTCACAATGGTGTCAAATCTCTCATGCCACTGTTTGGGAGCTTGCTTTAAATTGTACAAGGATGTAATAAGTCTACACACTTTATTTTCGTGTCCATGTATCACGAAACCATTAGGTTGCTCCAAGTAAATCTCCTCCTTGAGATAAATTCAGAAAGGATGTCTTCACATCCATTTGATGAATTTACAATCCTTTCAAAGATGATATTTCTATGAGAGTTCTAATAGAACTAATCCTAGCAACTAGGGCATAGGTATTGTAACATCCATAAAATTCATGAAAAAATTAAACTTTTAAAACAACCCATAAATCATCATTGTTTACAAAATAGTTTTCAAAACATGTTTAATATCATAGTATTTCCCCAAATCAAAGAACAAAACACGAGGAGGTGCACGATCACGCCTTCACCTTCTCGCGATAATCTGAGGTACCTGAAACGTAACCCAAAACTGTAAGCCCAAAACTTAGTGAATTCCCACAAAATACCAACACATCAGAATATCATAATAATAACAGCAAATAACATGCATACATAGCCTTCGGTCTGACTAGAACGCCCTGTCAGCCTGCAGTCCACCTGGTACGCTCACAGAACCTTCCGCATGATTGGTATGCCACACCAGGCCTTCAGCCTATCTGGAAGGTTTTCCGGGCCTTCGGCCTGACTGGTACACCCCACTGGCCTTCAGTCTATCCGGGACGCCTTGGGTCTGTTGGCCTTCAGCACAAAGCTGGACCACCTCAACCCAACCACACACCACACACACACACAACCACCACATATATATAATATATATATATATTATATATATATATATATATATATATATACACACACACATATAACAACAAACATGCAAATAACCAGCCAGTATGTTAGGACATAATTAATGGTTTATACTTTACTTTTGTTGGATTTTAGTGTTCTCGGTCCAGGACCGAATTCTCTATATTCTCGGTGGTGTTTGGACCGAAATCACCTTGTGATTTCGGTGGGCTTATAGGATTTCGGTTGGGATTGGGCTTGTTAAGGTTTTGTATTAGGTTTCGTATATAATGTATTATCAGCCGTGAATGAGAGAGTTGGTCAGTGGGTCATTCTAAGAAGCTGTTATCGAGTTAGAAAAAGAGAGAACCGAGACTAAGAGAATCTTATGTACCCGACTATAGATAATTAATAGTGTGCATTGAAGATTTGTGATTGTGTTCTTAATTCTCTTTAACTGTTTCACATTAGTCACTAAATTGGGATTCCACACT